GGAACAAATTAATGGCATTTAAAAATATTTACTAAAATTTTTTTAAAGTAAATTAAATTTCATTTATCTTTCCAAATCTATTTTTATATTGTTAAACGACGAAGACGATAAAGTCTACATTTGCAATTTTTCTAGTTATAAATAATTAACGTTATCATATAGCTTCACTTTTATTTTCTACATATATCGATGAAAAGTAATTTCTTGCATTATTGTATTTATAAAATGAACTTTACTGTTAAATGCATCGATCCGGTGAGGACTGTAAGAAAAGGCTCGAAATATAATATTCACATCAACCGTTCCTCCTTCTCCATTATTTATCTCAACGATTATACTTCTCGTTATAAGATTATGTATGCTGATTGTAGGAATTGAAACGCGACGCGTCTCTTTCCCGTCATGCGGAACTAAAAAGCTTCGTACAGAACGTTTCGTGGGTTAATTACTTTCCTATAGTCGTGTTCCTCTTTTCGAGATGCAAACATTACACTTGTAAATTGTAATTACATGTTCGCTTGATAGATCCGTGTAGTTATATCTAAATTAATTGGCTCTTTCCATCGTGAAAGTTGAAATTTGAATAGGATTTATGAATTTTAGTGAGGTTACAAAAATAAGTGCTAAGACAAATTTTAACTTATACGGTTTACAATTGTCTGAAACCAAAGTTTTGGTCTCGTCAAAAATTGTGTAGTTTTGGTCTGGCAGTCAACGAGTTAATGTCCGCCATTTTTCGCTTGAAATATATATACAGGGTGTTCGGCCACCTCTAGCAAAAATTTTAATGAGCGATAGTAGAGGCCAAAATAAGACGAAAATCAAGAATACTAATTTGTTGATGGAAGCTTCGTTAAAAAGTTATTAACAATTAAATTCAAAAATTTCAAATCGTTCTGGAAAAATTATTTTCGGTTGCGGGGGTCAACTACAATCATTTTTGGTGAGTACACATACCTCCGAAATCCTATCTACTTTCGAGAAAAAAAATCGAGTAATTTTTCGGCGAAAAAAAATTTTTCAAATCGTTTTAAAAAAATTATTTTCGGTTGCGGGGATCAATTACAATCATTTTTTATCATTACACATACCTCCGAAATCGTACGCACTTTCGAGAAAAAAATTCCATACTGAAAATCCAATTAGGTGCCTAAATTTTTCAACGGAGAAAAAAAATTGCAAATCGTTGTGGAAAAATTATTTTCGGTTGCGGGGGTCAATTACAATCAGTTTTTGTCATTAGACATACCCACGAAATCCTGCCCACTTTCGAGAAAAAAAATAGAGAAGGTGTGAAATTATTCGAGAAAATTAAAAAATTGCAAATCGTTGTGGAAAAATTATTTTCGGTTGTAGGGTTCAATTACAGTCATTTTTGGTGAATAGACATACCCCCGAAATCTTGCGCATTTTCGAGAAAAAAATTCAGTAAGAGCGGCACTTTAAACGTTAATAACTTTTTAACGAAGCTTCCACCAACAAATTAGTATTCTTGATTTTTGTCTTATTTTGGCCTCTACTATCGCTCATTAAAATTTTTGCTAGAGGTGGCCGAACACCCTGTATATTCATATTTCACTTGCGTACTAATTTCTTCAACAGACTTTACAAGTTAGAATAACACAAGAACTCCATAAGAACGCCAGTAAGAACATTGAAAATTGAACTGTTAACACGTGTACATATTTGTAAATACATTCAAGTGTTGTAAATAGTATTGAACCTTCTATTTATAAATAAAACGGCTCCACGAACATAGTGGGAGGCTACAGATATCGAAATAGTAATATTTTGTGGACTAGTTATAATTGGCGCGCGTGAAGCAGACGAAAAATGCCCAAAAACGTGTTGTTGAGGCCCACCGTTAGGCGGCGCCCTTGTCGTCTCTACTTTCTCGCTATATGCGCCACGTGTGTTACACTTTATTCTCATTAATATTAATAATTACTAACATACATGTATTCCTACCATGTGTTCTTATTAAATAATATTATTACTCCTAATCAGCTTGTTTTTCCTCACTGCGCCAACATATTTTACGTGAAATGAAAATATTTTGTATTGACATAAAATGTGTATAGCGCGTTTTTAACTTAGATTAAGTCCACGACACATCGATGTAATTACTAGCTCAGATTGTTATCATCGTCGAGATATCGAACCTTCACAGCAAATTTTCGCACTTTATTTCCAACGATGGGCCTCGATAAGATAATCTCATCCTGCAAGAAGCAAGTAACACGGGGGTTTATATTGTCGAAACTTTCTTTCCAAGCGACAAATATTCCGGTGACAGTGATTAATTGCTACCCAGTAGATTGCTGGTGATGTGTGTCTAATACGACAGAATTCTCAAAGCTCGGAAGGTTACGTAAGAAAAATTTTTCATTTAGCAAAGTAAACGATTAATAACAAAATAAATTCACGTTTAAAGATCCATCGATGTCTTGAAAATTCTAACTGTTCGTTTTTTTAAATTAACGTGTTATTAACACTGTAATTATTAAAGCAAAAGATCACTATGGATGATACTTTAAACCCTAAAAATTCATAATAAACTGTTAAATGGGCTTGTAAATTATATTGTATATTTAATTGCATTTGATACAAAAATATTCGTGATCGTAATTACTGTTTAAATTAATCATTTTTGAGAAGTAATTATCTGTAAATTCTAATGATGAAAACCATTATCTAAAAATTGATTTTACGTAAAATATTAACAGAAAACGGAACGAAGAATTCTGTTTTTAAGTCAGTTTTAGTACTGGTGATGATTGTATCATTAAATTCGTATTAATTTTGAAAGACATCTAATCCATCCTACAATTTTCATTTTTCATTTAATTCCTTATCGATTTTCTTTTATTTTATTACAAACAAAATTTATTTTCTATATTCAATAAACTTTATTTATGACGACGACCAGAAAGAAAGCCATGAAAATGGATTTGACATGTAACAAATATTGAAAAATTCCATAACAATGTATTTCTTATAAACTCTGGTCACTTTTTAGTTAGAAATATAATTATTCCGTGAATTGTCTCGAATTGTATAGAATAAGCAAGTTATTCAAAATTCTTCTCCAAAATCTAATTGAAAAAATTACGTTCATTATATACATAAAGCTATGCATATGTTCAATGAAACGACATATTCATCGCTTCATTTTGGAATAAATTTTGTTGTATTATTTATGTGACTGAAAGTTTGTATTAATATATTTTAATGTGCTAAATACATATTGCAATATTGATAATGATATCACTATCGATGCTTATTAGTAAGTTAGATTTAAGTTGAAATGTATGTGAATACAAATTAGCCATAACATAGTAGGATGGTAACCACCAATATTATGGCGGATGAAAGAAAATTATCAACAATATGATAAAAAATAAACTATCAATAGAACGATAGTACAATCTGTCTTAAGAGAGAACTGGTCAGGTTTAAGATATAGAAATTTTTCTAAACCGATCTCAACGCAAGCAGTATATCGATTACGATATAATAGCGCAAGAACTGTGTAACATTGTATCTTTAAATAACTCAAGGATATAGATAAAATTAAAATTTTTAGAGATGAAAAGCCTTGCAGAAATTCCAGTTCCGGAGCACAACTATATTCATTGAACAAAATACCAATTTTAAATGAATTTACTAGCTAATGTCACCGTATTGTACCATTGCAGTATCTCATTGATCATTCTGCTTAATTAATTTAATTTACGAGAAAAAAAATAACTGTTATTTGGTATTATTTTTTTGGGGACAAAAAGTATCACCAACTGGGGGAAAAATATAGATATATGTATATGGTACGAATAAACGTAGAACAGGAAAACGAGGAAAACTCGATTGTAAAAATTGCGATAAAAAATCCAATTCTCAAACTTTCTCGTGACAATGTATAATTGAATGTTAACTGTTAGATAATTATATGTTTTTAATAAGATTTCGACTGAAGTTAGTCGAGTTTCAAAATCCGCGCGAAATATTTGGCCAACTCGATATTTTATGAAATCCAACAAATGTAAATGTCAACACAAAGGATTACAATAACAATACTGGTGTTAAGAATTTACTGACAATGGGTTAGTAGTGTTTTACTGTAACAAATTTGAAAACAATCCCATTTTGCAAGAGATATCCAGGAAAGCCCCATTTAATATAATATAATAAATATTAACGCAAGTTTCAGGTGCATATATAATGTAAAATGCTTGGATAGCATGATATTAAGCAACTGTATAATGAAGGAAATAACTTTTCGACCCCCGGAAGTAAACTTTTCCCATTATTTTAAGATTCTAATTAAACGCTCTTTCAGCAAATGTAATCCTTCTTCTTTGTTTTAAATCTTCAATTTGATGTCTCGTGAAGAAATACTGATCGTCACGGAGCATTCATAAGCGTACCATTAATGAAAACTTACAATTAAAATTCATAAATGCAGTTGTTGGTATAGAAATATCAAAATATTAAAAAAATATTATTCCATTGTGTGTAAGAAATAATAGAAGTAAACCTAATGAAAAATGGGTTCGATGTTGTAATTGTCTGGATCACTGACCAAAATTTGTATATTTGTGACGCCTAAATAATAGAATTTTTCATTCTTCACCATTCTATGCATCGAAATAAGCTATGCATTAGCTTTATATTTTTTCTTCGTTTCTAAAATCTTCATTTTCTGAAATCAGACTTGCGTTACCATTGCATGTATCGAATATTTGTGCCGCGCTGTAGCTTTGCTGAATGTTAATTTATGTGCAAAAGGGTTGAAGGTGGTTCATGAATGAATGGGCGATCAGGGATAGCGAGACAACGGAGGGAACGTGACAGACGTGATTCTTACATAATACTAATTTCTGTTGCTAATTATTAATTTCTGCAAAAAGATTGTGTGTTCAGATATCCAACAAAGCCCTATTTAATATAATATAATAAATATTAAACAATTTCTTAAACATATAAACATAGTTCATTTAATTTAACTTAATCTCTGTGTCTAGCGTACCTTATATTTCTATGTTAAACGTATAAAATTTATTCATTTTATATAACCCGATGCTATATCAAACGTTTGTAAGGTATTGTGGTTGCTAATGACCCTAATGGGTTGATGCAACAGTAAAAATTAATTTCAGTTGCATATATAATGTAAAATGGTCAAATATTTCGCGCGGGTTTTGAAACTCAACTAACTTCGGTTGAAATCTTATTAAAACCATATAATTATCTAACAGTTAACATTTAATTATACATTGTCACGCAAAAGTTCGAGGATTGGATTTTTTATCGCAATTTTTACTATAGATTCGAGTGTATTCGATTGTGTGTTTTAAATTCGTTTGTACATTTGTTCCAAATACTCTTTGTTAAATTCTACACCATCGTCTCCATTTTCACCGCCCGCCATTTTAAAAAATAAATACATTTGTGAAATAAAATATCTGTGATCCAATAATCCCAGAGGTAACACGTTTCTACAAGGCACTATCGCGTAAGTGCAATAGGTTTTACATTTAAAATACAAATACAATTCTTTTTGTTAAGTCCTACACCATCGTCTCCATTTTCACCACTTGCCATTTTAAAAAAATAAATGTGTGAATTAAAATAGCTGGAACCCAATTATCCCAGATAAGTAGGTAACACGTTTCTACAAGTCACTAATCGCGTAAGTGCAATAGGTTTTACATTTGTTCCAAATGCAATTCTTTTTTGTTAAGTTCTACACTAACGCCTCCATTTTCACAGCTTGCCAGTTTAAAAAATAAATGCATTTGTGAATTAGAATAATCCAATAATCCCAGATAAGCAGGTAACACGTTCCTACAAAGCACTATCACGTAAGTGCAACAGTTTTTACATTCCAAAGACTCTTTGTTAAATCCTACACCATCGTCTCCATTCTGACCGCCCGCCATTTTAAAAAATAAATACATTTGTGAATTAAAACAGCTGTAATCCAGTAATCCCAGAGGTAACACGTTGCTTCTCTGCAATTACCATCCATCCAATAGGTAATTGCAAGAAAACGGTCCACATGTAGACGATAACGCATCTACTCTCCCAGATAGCACGCAGCAGCTATAGATCACGAACTCCCGCCACGGACGATTTTAAACCGCATTCACATCGACTCGTTAAATGATTCCTCCTTCGCGGCCGTACAATTGAACTGTTGGTTACCTCGTAGACGTTTGCATCATCGGAAAATTGTTCGTTGACAGGCGGGTCAATTGAACAACGCGGCTCCTTCATCTCTGGGTTTCTCACCGTGGACGGTATTCTTGACCGTGGCTAGCTCGAAATCGCCAGTACGAGCCGAGTAGACGTCGCAGCTCGTCGTAGAGTGATCGAGATACGTCGTTGCCGGAAGTCGATCCACGGTTTGTGTACACGATTGATCCCGCGGATCAGCGGCGGGTTTGGCAGCGAAGCCAGTGGAGTTGCCGTTAAGTATAGCAGCCGCGACCTGGCAGCGACAGTGTGTCAAGATCACTTGATCCCGCTACGCCTTCGCCTTCGAACGCGTACACGCTCGAGTACCGATTGTTGCTTCTCTTTCTCTGGGTCAGCAGGAGAGCCGTACTCGAGCTCACAAAGCAGACGGGAATTCCGGGTGAACAGTGGGTGCGACGAGGACCTTCGACGAGAAGGGGACCGGCTACCGTGGAACCGTCGTTTCTTCGAGTGGCAATCGAGCGTTGGGGGGAATCGATAGCCCGGGCCACGGCGTTCGTGTGTAGCGACGGATGTGATCTTGTTACTCGGTACGTGCTCCTCGATCGCAAACGCGAATGGGAAGGTCATGGTGTCTAGTTTGCCCGATCGATTTACGCGCGACGTGAACCCCTTCCCCCCTCCCCGCCACCACCCCTCTTCACCCCACGCTCGTTTGACGACCAATTGCTTTTTGCGGGCTGGAATTCGCTGTGTCAGCCAAGTGAGCGATACTCGGTTACCGAACCGTGCACCGATTCTCGTTCGAGGGTGACAACTTCCACGCGACCACTTCTGTGTGACGTCTGAGTTTCACTGTTGTCTTTGCTCTCTGTTTTTTTGCTCGAACGTTATGTGAAAATTACGATTTCGTACTGTAAGGGTGGTTTTGATTATCGCTGTAACTTCGTATAGTTGCAAGCGTACACTTTTTGGAGGAATTGGATTCTGATAAAATTTAGATATGCAGTGATAATTTTCTTCGATAAAAATTACGATATGGTGTTGTAAGGGTGGTTTTGATTATCGCTGTAACTTCGTATAGTTGCAAGCGTACACTTTTTGGAGGAATTGGATTCAGATAAAATTTAGATATGCAGTGGTAATTTTCTTCGATAAATTATTACGCCCACATGTTCATTTTGTATTATGCCTTGATGCATATAATGGAATTTTGTGAAAAACAGTAAACTTCTCGTTCGACAACTACCCTTTCCACTGGCAATGATATATCGGCGCTACAAAGCTTGTTTTTGTATTTCCATTGCAGTTTTTCATTGAAACGTTGATATTTTCAAATTGTTTAACAAGCATGGAGATTGTTGTATTTTATTTCTTATAAATTTCGATTTTACTATACGCTAACAAAAATATTCATGCAATATCTATCCGCTTCCTATGAATTCTTGATTAAAATTTAATTTTAATTTAAAATTTCAAATATGCCCTGAACTGACAAATTCTGTTTGCTTTTTGCTAAATTACAAACTTTATCCGCGTCAATTTCAGTCTTAGTTCTTATCGAATTTGTGAAGATAAAATTATTTGTTATTGCAATCGAATCGGAGGAAAAAATTACAATATAGAAACGATCGTTTTTGTTAAGCCTCAGGCGATTCTCTGTTTTACTATGCACTAAAAAATATAAATATAAACAAAATTATGTTGTCAAGAAAATAAAAATAAACATACTAACTCAAATTTCATTATAGTCTTGTAAATAAGTAAGCACATTACATGAGTCTCTTTAAAATTTTTCATATATTTTAATTATGATTTAAACGATCTAATCATCCACAAATATTAATTGTTAATAAGTAATTTGCTACTATTATTGTCGAGTATTTTTAAAGATATTTCAGTAATCCAAATTATCAACAGTAAATTATCAACAAATATTAATCGTTAATAAATAATTTGCTACTATTATTCGCGAGTATTTTTTAAGATATTTCAGTAATCCAAATTATCAACAGTACATTGTCAACAAATATTAATCGTTAATAAGTAATTTGCTGCTATTATTGTCGAGTATTTGTGAAGATATTTCAGTAAACCAAATTATCAACAGTACTCTATATATGTACTCTGCTTTTCCTCTATAAATAGTTTAATAATGAGATTTCAGAGCCAAATTAATTTTGTTATTTATATAATTTTAGTATTTGTCGAGAAGATCGCAACAGCTTGCTTCATCAGGTTATTTAGTGCGATACGAATTCATGAATTCGTGGATTGTTTAGGGGGTTAGGTAAACGCGAACCGCTAGTTGACGTCTATTAGGCTGCTCGCTGAGCTGGAATAATCAAAACGCGTGTGACAATTTCGTTTAGGTTGTTTTGGCACGTTTGACACTAGATTTACGGACATTGTTTGCAGATATCTTTAATCGAAACCCGTTCTGTCGACAGTCACATTCGAATCTCTCTTAATTAGAATATGTATATTAGTATATATACATATATGTATATTAATATCGACCAGATTTAAAACAAATTGCTACGATTCTACAACGTTAAGTTCAGAACCTGAAACAAGTCAAAATTACATTTTCAACTATGAAGATCAATAATTTTTTTAACTCAAAATTTTAAATTAAAAAAATATTTAATATCATCGCAGAAAAAGGAACAAATTGTAAATTTATTTATCAAAATATAAAACGACGCGTTCCGTAAATCTAGCGTTGAGCAATCAAATGTTTCGATTTGGTAATTGTCAGCAATTGTCTGTAATTAGAAAGTTTAAAATAAGAATCATGCATAATTTAACTGTCCTGATCCATTATTCATTAACTTTTGTACGTTTCGATATTCGTACGGTGTTTGTCCGACAAATGATCAAAAACGCAAATGCTCAGTAATGAACGCGTTCAATAAATTCCGTGCGGGAAATTGTACGGTCATTTAGAACGAATCACGCTGATAATTAGATAGCTAATTAACTTTTAATTAGCACTGCAAACAGCCATCGCGGTAAACGGGAGCGAATTTTATGAAACTCGTAAACGTGATAACCGATACTTTCAAACTTTATAAAATCGAATTTACAGGCTGTTGACAAGATCGATACATTTTTCAAAATCCAAAGTCGATGCAAGCACCATCATTCCAGGCGACAACTCGTTATATTTTAATGGATCTCGAATATGAACCGTGTCTAAACCAAAATTCAGCGATATAGTCGTACGATGTGGCTGACACTGTACCCTCGGAGTCCTTCAGACTCCTAACCCACACCTTCGACGCGACATGAATACCTAATAAGAATCTTCGCCCAGTGCAAACTGCTCGCAAGACTCTTCTGATCGGTGATTTGCAAAAAAAAGGAGAGAATCTCTGCGTTCGGTATTCGTAAATCAAAGAACTTTTATTACGTTCGATTTAATTAAATTGCTTTACTTGTTTTTATTAATTTAATTTCTTACTCGTTTCTTATGAAATGCTGTTTAAATTAAAGACTTCCAAATTGCTCGTTATAAACAAAAATCCAAGTAATATATTTCTATTTCTTAGCACTGGAACTATTAAAGCAGTCAAAATGACCTATTCGTAATTTCTAATAAAACATAGAAAAAATTTGCTCGACAGAATTTTTAAAAATTTACGATAATTTCCTATTACAGAATGAATAAACACTTATTTCCTTTAAAAATTTTAATGGGAGATTCTAGGGACCAAAATAAGACGAAAATCAAGTATACCAATTTGTTGATGGAGGCTTCGTTAAAAAGTTATCAACGTTTAAAGAACCACTATCTCGCGTACGCAGCTGTTCACAGATTCCCGTTCTACAGGCGGACCTTCAAACGTTAATAACTTTTTAACGAAGCCTCCATCAACAAATTGGTATTCTTGATTTTCGTCTTATTTTGGCCCCCAGAATCCCTCATTAAAATTTTTCCCAGGGGTGGCCGAACGAATTAATAAAAGAGTAGCCCCTATATACACATTTTCTGATCGAAATTTATGTGATATTAGATTCGCACAAAAATCATGTCGTTCTCAATCGATTTTGTTCGTCAAATTTGCATATGATAAATATCGTTGGGCAACATTTTCTAGTTATCAGATTGCAACAAAATATGCATTTGTCAAATTCTGCATTTTATATACAATCGTCTAATATTTGAAACACGATCCTATTGTTCGTTACAATGAATATGTATATAGGAAGTTCAGTCATCCATGGGAAAAATTTTAATGGGAGATTCTAGGGACCAAAATAAGACGAAAATCAAGAATACCAATTTGTTGATGGAGGCTTCGTTAAAAAGTTATCAACGTTTAAAGAACCACTATCTCGCGTACGCAGCTGTTCACAGATTCCCGTTCTACAGGCGGACCTTCAAACGTTAATAACTTTTTAACGAAGCCTCGATCGACAAATTGGTATTCTTGATTTTCGTCTTATTTTGGCCCCCAGAATCCCTCATTAAAATTTTTCCCAGGGGTGGCCGAACGAATAAATAAAAGAGTAGCCCCTATATACACATTTTCTGATCGAAATTTATGTGATATTAAATTCGCACAAAAATCATGTCGTTCTCAATCGATTTTGTTCGTCAAATTTGCATATGATAAATATCGTTGGGCAACATTTTCTAGTTATCAGATTGCAACAAAATATGCATTTGTCAAATTCTGCATTTTATATACAATCGTCTAATATTTGAAACACGATCCTATTGTTCGTTACAATGAATATGTATATAGGAAGTTCAGTCATCCATGGGAAAAATTTTAATGGGAGATTCTAGGGACCAAAATAAGACGAAAATCAAGAATACCAATTTGTTGATGGAGGCTTCGTTAAAAAGTTATCAACGTTTAAAGAACCACTATCTCGCGTACGCAGCTGTTCACAGATTCCCGTTCTACAGGCGGACCTTCAAACGTTAATAACTTTTTAACGAAGCCTCCATCAACAAATTGGTATTCTTGATTTTTGTCTTATTTTGGCCCCCAGAATCCCTCATTAAAATTTTTCCCAGGGGTGGCCGAACGAATTAATAAAAGAGTAGCCCCTATATACACATTTTCTGATCGAAATTTATGTGATATTAAATTCGCACAAAAATCATGTCGTTCTCAATCGATTTTGTTCGTCAAATTTGCATATGATAAATATCGTTGGGCAACATTTTCTAGTTATCAGATTGCAACAAAATATGCATTTGTCAAATTCTGCATTTTATATACAATCGTCTAATATTTGAAACACGATCCTATTGTTCGTTACAATGAATATGTATATAGGAAGTTCAGTCATCCATGGGAAAAATTTTAATGGGAGATTCTAGGGACCAAAATAAGACGAAAATCAAGAATACCAATTTGTTGATGGAGGCTTCGTTAAAAAGTTATCAACGTTTAAAGAACCACTATCTCGCGTACGCAGCTGTTCACAGATTCCCGTTCTACAGGCGGACCTTCAAACGTTAATAACTTTTTAACGAAGCCTCGATCGACAAATTGGTATTCTTGATTTTCGTCTTATTTTGGCCCCCAGAATCCCTCATTAAAATTTTTCCCAGGGGTGGCCGAACGAATTAATAAAAGAGTAGCCCCTATATACACATTTTCTGATCGAAATTTATGTGATATTAAATTCGCACAAAAATCATGTCGTTCTCAATCGATTTTGTTCGTCAAATTTGCATATGATAAATATCGTTGGGCAACATTTTCTAGTTATCAGATTGCAACAAAATATGCATTTGTCAAATTCTGCATTTTATATACAATCGTCTAATATTTGAAACACGATCCTATTGTTCGTTACAATGAATATGTATATAGGAAGTTCAGTCATCCATGGGAAAAATTTTAATGGGAGATTCTAGGGACCAAAATAAGACAAAAATCAAGAATACCAATTTGTTGATGGAGGCTTCGTTAAAAAGTTATCAACGTTTAAAGAACCACTATCTCGCGTACGCAGCTGTTCACAGATTCCCGTTCTACAGGCGGACCTTCAAACGTTAATAACTTTTTAACGAAGCCTCCATCAACAAATTGGTATTCTTGATTTTCGTCTTATTTTGGCCCCCAGAATCCCTCATTAAAATTTTTCCCAGGGGTGGCCGAACGAATTAATAAAAGAGTAGCCCCTATATACACATTTTCTGATCGAAATTTATGTGATATTAAATTCGCACAAAAATCATGTCGTTCTCAATCGATTTTGTTCGTCAAATTTGCATATGATAAATATCGTTGGGCAACATTTTCTAGTTATCAGATTGCAACAAAATATGCATTTGTCAAATTCTGCATTTTATATACAATCGTCTAATATTTGAAACACGATCCTATTGTTCGTTACAATGAATATGTATATAGGAAGTTCAGTCATCCATGGGAAAAATTTTAATGGGAGATTCTAGGGACCAAAATAAGACGAAAATCAAGTATACCAATTTGTTGATGGAGGCTTCGTTAAAAAGTTATCAACGTTTAAAGAACCACTATCTCGCGTACGCAGCTGTTCACAGATTCCCGTTCTACAGGCGGACCTTCAAACGTTAATAACTTTTTAACGAAGCCTCCATCAACAAATTGGTATTCTTGATTTTCGTCTTATTTTGGCCCCCAGAATCACCAATTAAAATTTCTTTGAGATTGCCCCCTTAAGAAACAACGTCTCTTTCGTCTCCCAAAAGCAGAAACGTTAAGACCAATCCTATCGCGGTGTATCCCGCGACAGTGGCGGTAAAAATACGAGCACGAGGCGTCCCTGGTCCCCCTGTCGGTTCACCGCGATAGCGTCCTTCGAACAATTCACATGTTCCGCGGCACAACGGAACTTCGTGCCGTTCCCCGAGCCGGTTGAACGGAAAAAGAAGTGTAACGAAGAACACCCGTTTGATTGCAGGAGGATGCAGCCAGGGGTGACAGTAGTTCTGGCCACGGTCTGGCTGGCGGTGTACGCGGACGTGGTGGGGACCGCCAACCTCTACCCCTCCCGCCTTACTCTCGATCAATACTCCCCTTTGGCCCCGCGACGCCATGGAGTTTATCGAAAAGTCGAGGGCCAACTGGACTGGAAGGATCAGAATCCTGCCGAGAATCAGCCGCTCGACCTTTCGATCGGCCCGCGAAGGTCGATTTCTGCGAACACCGGTACGTCTGGCATTCGTTACATCAGCAATTTAATTCTGTCGCTCTGGCTCCCGCGGAAGAAACGGAACGCCGGTATCGAGAACCGGAATCCCACCGTTGCGGTGGAAGTAGCAATTTCTATAATTTATCGATTCGAGAAAATTATGGTAGAATTGTCGATCGTTCAACCGTGACGAGCACAATTCCCACTCTTCCTTGTTTTGCTCCTCGATGGGGTCATTATACTCTGAAACCGTGAAAAGAATTTTTTTTTTAAGTACATGTATGTGTGTCGAGCATGTTTCTGTCGCTGAAGACTACCGGATTCGAAGATGTTTTTCATAGCCTCTCGAAATGGTTGCCATGATATCTTAAGTTACAGTGGATCGGTTGGTAACAACGATTTTCCATACTCGATGCTTTTTACTGTATTTTTGATACGTTAAATGTAAAAAACGAAACACAGAAAATAGTTTTTTTTGGGATTAAAGTGTTGCCGAATGTCTATTTTGTCATATTTTTTATTATTCGTCGGTTATTTAATTGTATTTAATACAAAGATATTCGTAATCGTAATTACTCTTTAAATTAACAATTTTTTGGAATTAATTGTCTGTAAATTCTAATGATGAAAATCATTATCTAAAAATTTATTTTATCATATTTTTTATTATCCGTTGGTTATGACCACGTCCATATTAAATAATATTTCATTTTTAATGAGCAGAACGACCGGAATTATGGCAGCCATCTTATTTTCGGAAGAACCTTTGCTAAGGTTGCTGCAACTTCTAAAATATTCAATATTTTTCCATGAAAAAAATTGTGAACATTCTTCAAATATAGACCTAAATATATATATTGAAACTTGGTACAGAAATATTATACTTTTTCCATCAAAAAATTGCAAAGTCTTCTGGCCCAGAGAGTTATTATCTTCGCTTTTTTTGAAAATTTTTCTCTCTAAATCAGTAAATTGTATGGCTCTAGGTTTTCGTGCATACATTTGGCAAAGTTTCACGAGCACATGGTAATTTTTTCATAGAAAAATAACGATTATTATAGAAGCTACGTGTCCCTATAAGACGTCCCTTCGAAAAAGTCTTGTCACGATTCCCACGATTGGCCATTTTGATTATCTAAAACGAACGAATCAGAAAGCATTTCAATTAATATACAATTACGATGTGGTCCAGGGAGAACTAAACATTCTTATAAACAAAAAAATGGCGGCACCTTAAAGTTGAATTTACGATTTGTTACCTCATTTTCGTGCTTGGCGTAAAAAAAAGAATAATACGCATCAATATTTCTTTAACTTCTCAGTTCACATATAAAAAATTCAATTTTTTTAAGGTTTTAGAGTAAAATACGTATGTTGAGTATTTAGAGAAAATCATTCAGCGTTTAATCTTGGCAAATATAGATCGAAAGCTCGATTTATTCAATTTTTACGCGATGCATGCAGCGTTTGCTTCCGTGCTTTTAGGCGTTGTTTATCTCAATTTATTATCTAATGCGTTACTTCGGTTCTTAGAGGATATATATGTATATCGCTGACAGATTATCGATGTTGAACGTGCATGATGGGGCTCCAGCTCATTTTGTGCGTAACGCGAGAGAGCACTTAACCACGGTGTTTGATCAAAGGTGGGTTAGACGTGGTGAACAAAGTTGCATGGCCCCCTGATTTTAATCCTTTGGACCCTTTTTCATGGGTATATTTAAAAAGCATTGTGCATTCTTCGCTGATAAATGATTTAGAAGAGTTAGGTGACCGAATCTCCTTTGTATAAAACGTGCAAAAATATTTGTATCTTAAAAATGGTGGTATTTTTCACTTATGTTTACTATGGTCCTTTCACTCGGTATAAGAAAATATATATTAATTATCGTTGATTGTTAATGAAAAAAAAATTGACAGATTCATTTATAATGTGTACTAATTACGTGCACATAAAAATTAACTACTCGCAATCTCTTCAATTATTAAAATAACATGGATGAAAACAGTGAATCTGTGTTTTCTTATAATGGAGGAGAGAACGTAGGAGAAAAATAAAAATGTGAACGATCGACGAAAGAACATTCTGAGTCAAACAATTAGGAACTTTTATTTTAACTGTAATATCGATTGTCTTTGTTAAATAAAATTTCAACCAGCGTTGAAACAATGAAAGGTAGGGAAACGTTTTATTAGGAAAATTAGATGGTTTCGAGTGATCACTTAATGTAAGAATAATCTTCGTAAGTGAATACATATCAATCATTTTCTATTAAAGCATTCGGGTGGAAAAATGTTTAGTTTAAAAGTTATTTTAATTTTGTAATAATTGTGCGTTCACTATACTTTTATGCATAAAATGTCTTTTAAACTAAACATGTTTCGAGACAAGTGCTTCCATACCTTTTTATTGGAAATAAAATAGTGCGTCGATTGGAATATAAACGAGTATATAGCTCCATTAAAAATAATAGAGAAGACCTTGAAATATTTGAAACGTCTTCGTTTATGAATATAACCTATGCACCGAGTGATGCATCACTCATAACCATTTAAATTTTTCTTGTGAGATTTTCTTTATCGTCTACCTTGTTAACGCTATGGCTAAACTTGGCAGTATGAATCATTCTGTATAATTGTACAAAACATTAATCAAAGACTCTAAAATCGAAATTTTGCCTCGCTTAAACATTTTAGTTTAGAAAATTAATTGCAATTGCTCATATTTATGTGCAAGTCAACAGAACAAGCCAAAATACATTATTTTCTCGTAAAAGTATAATAATTACTTTGTTAACACTCGTTCGAATCCGTAATTAGAAACATAAAATTATCGAGGGTGAAGCACAGTGTGAAACGATATGTTTTATAAAAAGAGACAATTAAAACAATAATTTATCAGCTATTTTTTAGTTAAATTTTTAGGTCTGTACAACTGGGTATTAATAATTATCGATGAGTCTATTTTTATTAACTTATCCCTTACTTGCATCATAAAGACCATTTCATGACTTTTTTTTATAGATGAGAGTTTACAGTAATAAGTATTAAATTCATTTATTATGTCGTTTTAGTATTTCATTTTAAATTAGACGAACTCCCTATCTTATGGTTAGAAATAAGTTTTTCTTTTTAAATACATTCCTTTAAATTAATAAAACAATATTTATAATTGTGCAAATAAATTGCTTGAGAATAATATACTTGAAATGTATAAAATTAATTATTATATAAATGTAAGTTGTGCAAAAGTTGTATATGTATAACTCTTGTTGAAAAGCATTTATGAAATTGATTTATTCTTTGATTTTTTCTTTAATAAATAGGGTGATCAATTTTAGATCAAGAAAAACTTCTAAAGGTAAGAAAATATTGAAATTATACGTTTATATATAACCTGATATTTCAATAATTATATAAATAAATAGAAATAAAATTTTTTGGTAAATTCAGAGACCTAACTTATTTCATAAGAAAGAGAATCCTTGATTTCTTATTAGTGTAATTCTTGCTGTATAAAATATTTTTCAAAGCCAAAACAAAATGATTTTATATTAATATGGAATGACTCTAAGTTCAGGAAAAGTTTAAAAATTTTAAAAATTCCTGTTTCGATGGAACCCTTTGCAAGGTCCTTTTCTCATATATGTATATAAAGCAAAATAATTACTTTAAAATAGAAATATTACAGACGTTCAAGAATATATCAAGTTATTTAAGAAAATAAATTTAAACAACAAAATTTGGTAAAAAGTTGGATCAAGCATACAGAAAAATGTCCAGAAAAATATAAACTAAATTAGTAAATGTAAATGTAAAATATGAAGGAGTTATTTTTTCCTTGTAAGAGTATCAGTAAGGTTGCACAAAATTAGAGTTAGTAATATTGAGCAAGCAATGAAAATAATCGTTCTGATTAATACGTTCGTTCCTGACACAGTATCTTGAAAATAGGAAACGACAAGGTTTCAGTTACTTGGGGGTCGTAGAGACGGTTGATAAAGTTCCACGACAGAACGATAGTGATAAGCGTGGTAAGTTGTTCGGAGCTGCGGTAACTTAGAACCGTGAATTGCGGGAACGAGTGACGAGTCATTCCCTGGAAGATTATGCCATTCACCGTGTCAGACGCAATTTACGTTCATTTTGCCAGTAATTAGAATCCGCCGAGGGCGCGGTACGCATGTGCTCGATTTTTTATAACATAGAGCTTCTCTGTTACCATAACGAGCCTATGGAATTTACGAGCCCTAACTTTGAACTCGTGGTTAAAGGTAAATGACCCAATTATCGGACATGTGAGACTAGAATCGTTTAAAAACACGTGCCTAAGCATGGATCATCCTTAACTTTCTCTCTTTTAGTTTCAAATTGAATCGAATTTCGTTCGCGAGAACTTTCATGACGAACTATAGTTTGCCAATAATAATCATTGGCATTTCATGCAATACGATTTCTGCAAAAAAAATTGATATTTTTTTAATTATTTTGATAAATTCTGATATCTTTCGAATTAATTATTTTTGATGAATTTCTAATATTCTTCGAATTAATTATTCCGATAAATTTCTGATATTTTTCGAATTAATTATTCCGATAAATTTCTGATATTTTTCGAATTAATTATTCCGATAAATTTCTGATATTCATCAGAATAATTAATTCAAAAAATAGCAATTTTCATTGCAGAAAAGTGTATTGTGGTTCATATATAGAAGACTATAGTTGTTCTTATTTCTTATTTATTATGTGCCTATGATTGCAATATTTCACGAGTTTGAAATAAATCTTAAGGGGAATAGTTCGTTTAAAGCAAACTGCTAAATGCCCAGGTGCTTCTTTCGATTCCACGACCCGCGCGCTGTTGCATCTCAAGTATTACTTTATCCAGCCTTTGTTAAGAATTTGACTAGCCACTTAAAGTTGCGTTTCGAATATAACGTAGTTAGAATATCGAAGCACAAGACCGCTTAAATCTTCAATGGAGCGCTTGAAATTCAAGCCACTGGTTGCGCGTGTTTGAGTAGGTATCCCGCAATTTGCAGTTTGCTCGAGACCAATCTTCTGAATTCTATTAATATAATACGATAAAATCAAATATAAGTAAACAACGCGGTTAAAACCAGATTTAATTCCTTTCACATTCCCAAATATTATTTAATAATGTATCATGCATAACAGAAAACTCAACGTTACTGTTCTAGCCATTTGTTCTCTTCTTTTTCTTAAAAAGTAAAACACATGCTCTACAACTCGTCAATATTTGGTATTCATATCAATTACATGTGTTCTCGATTTATACATATCGATTAAACGTTTCCGAATACCAATTTCAAACATTTTAATCTAATTTCTCATTAAACTTGCGTTGCAATTAATTCTGGAATATTTCAAAGAACCAGAAAGTTTCCTTATTGTACGTTTCAAAAAATGTATGAGAAGGTGCGTCGTTTCAAACATTTACTACAATTAATTCTGAAATATTTCAAAGAACGAGAAAGTTTCCTTGTTGTACGTTTCAAAAAATGTATGAGAAGGGGCGTCGTTTCAAACATTTACTACAACGACAGGTTAGAAAATAGATTCATAAAAAGGTATCATAAATTTCATAATGAGGTTTCGTGATAGTAAACATGTTTATTCACACTTACAGATTCCTAATAATTTCTAAATTCAAAGGTCATTTCAATCCTTCGACTATTGTAGGAGTTGTAGCCATTTAAAAATTGGCAATACCTTGTATATTATTGAACGATAAACAAGTGTTAGCACACATTTGTCTCCCTATTGGTTCAAGTAAACAATAAACCTTGACCACTGATCCATATTTTTCCAGAGTCTGTCGACCACTCGTTCGGGTCCAAATACCTCGAGAAGGACGTGATCATCCCACGGATGGGGAACAGCGCCGTCGACGATTTCTCGCCTCTCTTCGACGTCAAGCAGTTCCATAATTACGACGGTCGAAAATTCGCGGACGAGAAGGTCGATGGCGGAGGGCCGAAGACACCGAAATTACTTTCGCGCGAACTACCGCCGTCCGAATTGGAGGATCCTTTCGTGGCCGACGACACGTTCCAAGATCAAGGGCCGGGCTCCGTGGAGATATACAAATTAGACCTTCTCCGAGAGAAGCCTCTGCTGAGCCCAACGCCCGCGACAAGATTGTTAACGAAGAGTAAAAGCAAGACACCGAAGAAGAGCGGGCACGTTAACTGGAAGGTGAAAACGACGGAGTACAGAGCCACCAGCCCGAAGATGATCCACAAACAGTCGAACACGTTCGACGACAGCAGCACGGAGCTGCCACCCAACAGCGATCCGTTCAGCATAGGTGGAGTGCCCGAATTGCAAGTGGGCTGCGAGGGTTTGGAGGCGTTCGACCACAAGCAAAAGAGATCCATAGATCCGCCGACCAACGAGAAGAACTTGGAAACTGGCGTCGATCTGTGGGCGGAAGCGACGCCTATATCGCTGAACGTGGACTACGAGCTCTCGGAGGAGGATGGCTACGAAGAAATGGACGAGCTCCTGAAGCTCAGGAAATTGGAGACCACCACGAAGAGGAGCAAGCACAACCGCGGCGACATGGAGGCGACTCTTCATTTGGACTTCTTCGAGGAGAAAAGACGAGCGGAGAAATTACCGGTTCGGGGAGACTTGGGCAAGGTTAAAGTCGCCAACGAGTCGGCTACTTTGCCGGCGACTGTTCCCGATAATCAGAGAGCAGAAAAGGGGGAGAACAAAGGCTCGCGTTTTGGTAGAGCGAAACGAAGCGTTCCCGGCGGCTCGGCGGCCAATCAAAGTCGTAAAATCTTGTGGGTGGATGATTCGGGGCTGGAGGATAGCTCGAAGCGCGAGGTTTGGGGTTACGGGGAAGACGAGGGCGTAGTGACGAGCGACGAGTTGCAAACTGAGAATCAGCGACGCCGGAAACAGGAGGAGAGAAGGAGAGAAGAGGAGGCTAGGAGGCGAAGTCGTATCGAGGATCGAACCGAGTACGAGAGGGAGGTCGAACGAAGGCGGATGGAGGAGGAGAAACGCAGAAGGTACGAGTCTCGCCACGCTTCTCCGGACGAGGAGGAGAGGAAGTGGCAACGACAGCTGAAAGAGAATCGTTCGAAGGAACTGGAGAAAAGAAGGATGCTCGAGGAGGAACGATCCAGGTGGGAGGGAGCGACTAGGAGGAGGCAAGAGCAGCAAGAGTTGGACAGGAGAAATTTGGAAGCCAGGAGAAGGGAGTGGATGCTGAAGAGGAACAGAGAGGAGGAAGAGAGGAGAAGGAACGAATCGCCACCCAGCTCGTTGTACGCGATGAGAGCGAGTCCCAACGAGAGCAGACCGTACGACCCGGAAACGGAGAGACGAATGAGGGAACAGCAGCACAGGGATCGCGAGCAGAAGGTGAGAGAGTACGTGCAACGCAATCGACCGATCAACGTGAACGGTTCCGTGGATCGACGCAAAGAGGAGGCCAAGAAGAGGCTGGAGGAGGAACGAAGAAGGCTGGAGGAAGAACGCAAGTTGCAGGAGTACATTCGACGAAATCAGCCTATACACGTGCACAGAGCGAACGAATCCAACGCGAGATACTTCTTGGAGCACAGAAGAACGATGGACAGCGCGGGATCGAATAATCGGCCGAGGTATCCGATGCCGGAAACTGGCAGAAGAAATCACGGTCCGTCTGCCCCGACGTACGTCTATCCTCAAAGCTACACGAACAGAGGGCTCGAGGAGCAGAGAGTTCGCGAGATGGAAAGGCAGGAGGAGCTGAGGAGAGAAGCTGCGAGGCGGGAGAAAGAGGTTCGAAGGATACAGTCGAGACGATACGAGGAGCAACGAAGGAGACAGGAAGCGGCAAAGTTGGAAGCCGACAGAAGGATCAAGGAATTGGTAGAGGTGGAGGCTAGGAGAAGTCAAGCTGGAAGGACCAGACCGACGGAGAACACGAGACCGGCGTACGAGGACCGTAGGCGATTCGAGGAGCAACGGAGAAGACAAGACGCGAGTCTTATTCCAGTCAATTTACGTTTGAACGAGTCCAGGCGAACCATGGAGCTCGAAAGACAAAGGCTGGAGCAACAGAGAAGGAGAATCGAGGCCGAGGGGCGTAGACAGGAGGAAAGCAGGTAAAGAAACCAACGTACAGTAGGGTGGACCTTATCTTTCACCCACTGAAATCATGACACTAGATGAAAAAAATATGCAAAATTTGAGATTGATCGGACAACGGGAAAACGTGGCATATCGCAGTTGAAAATTTGGTATTTTTGTAACCCGTTTTTCTCCATTAAAGTGTATCGCTATCCTATAGTTTAGCACCTCTTTGAATTCGTCTTTTTATGCTATATAAGGATATCGAAACGAAATTTTGAATGTTTTACGGTACAAATCTAATCCTTTAGGGTTTTCTGATACTAGGTATGTACTACGACTTGTAGCAACCTACTACCGTTTCAAAAGCGATTTCTATTGCCAGAAGCTCCTCTTGCCCGGTTTTGTAGCGCGTCAGCGACTAGAGAAGACAACAATTCGCAAAGGCGAAATAGCTCCGCGTCGGTTATTATAACTCCGAAGATCCATAGCGCGTCGCGTGGGAGGGGTACGGTAAATATTCGGTCGCGGGGGGCCGTAAGTTAACGCGGCGTCGCGAAACGAGCCACGTTAATGAAACAAACACCTCGGTCGTGTCACGCACAATGAGCTTCCTCTTTCAGTCTACACTGATAATATAATGCTCCCTTATCCCTTTCGCCCCGCAGAACGAAAGAGGCCAGGGAGAACGAGGAGCGCGCCAGGGCCGTGAAAGAGGAATGGAAACGGCGACAGGAAGAGGCCAGACTGAACGCGCTACCTGTGAGCGCAAGAATAATAGTCCAGCCTGGAGCATCTTCCTCCCCGCCGGTCCTGTTATCGAGGGCAGGTGTCAACAATGATATCGATTTCTCGGTGAGCTTCTTCCGTTTGCCTGTTAAAACAGCTCGGCCTCGGTCCATGCAATTGTCTAAAAGCATAGTCGCCGTCGGCGGCTTCCGTGCCCATACGATAATCGTGCTCCTATAATTAGCGATGGGGTCAAGTGTATTGCGAGTATACTCGAACCTCGAGATAGACTCGAAACCTGGGAAAGTTAAAGGCTTCCAGCCTCGGTACTCCAAGCGTTGTTACGCAGAATTACAGTCGATGTAGATAAATTCAGGGTCGGGGTTAAGTATAGCTTCCTGCTGAATAAAATTTCTATATTTATATTTAAAGTAACAACGACGGGAAATAAAATATATAAATTAATTTTCGTGGCGATATGGTGGATATGCAGGGTGTCTTCGGACGGTCTGACAGAAAAATGTACCCAACAAAAATTAATTTCTGGCCAGCTACAAATTTACAATATAAAAACTGCAACAAAATTTGTTTATTCCACGAAAGTTGTCACCTTCATTTTTTTATCTACTTGTGCATTGTATACTTTTTAGAGATCGTGTCAAGACGAATTCAACTACTTGATATACCATTACTTTTCTATGACGTTGAAACGAAAGAAATCTTGTAATAAATGTTCAAACAGTGTTCCGTTTTGTTGCATGCATGGCTCTAATTTTTACCTTCAAAGTCACTCGAGGACACGAGCTACGATAATATATAAACTAAAAAATATACAATGCACGAAGGTGATATTGAAATTGACTTTTGTGGAATAAAAAAATTTTGTTGTAGTTTTTATGCCGCAATTTATGACCAGAAACTGATTCGAACCGTCGTAAGTGTTTGGAAAATTGTGTCGACATTTACGTGGAACAGCCTGTACCTTCGTGTGACAGACTATACCTATGCATATTGCCCGATGCGGTAGCGTTCTATCTGTCGTACAATAGAACGGCACGGTTGCACTTCTGTTATAGCGTTGTACGAGTGCTTTGGAAACAACTTTGGACGATCGATACAGTGATATCGATCCGCTGGCAATGCAAGCTCGCGATCATTAAACAAGAAATAATTGCTCATCGGGCAGCTGTTATCCGTAGTAACCATGAAGTAATTGCTACTATAATATTCGCACGCGAGATTGTTAGAACACCATGAAACGGTATATGTTACAGAAAGGCAAATAATACTGTGATAAAGTGTACTTTATTAGCGAATCAACTGATTGAATCTCGTTTAAAAGCAAATACAATGGCCGTCGCTTAAAATCGTGCACCTAGCGATTCAGGAAACTAAAATACAGATGCAGGGACATACTTCAATGCTTCATTGTTTAATATATTGTAAAAGTAGATCAAAAGTTTCAGTAATTGTTAATATAATGAATGCAAATTATCACAGGGAAGAAATGCTTCCCTGAATTTTCATGCGAATCTTCGAAATGTCATAACTCCTGAACGGATTGCACGATTTTAATGTTTCGAAATGCAAACAACGCGTATTTTAGTGAAGAATATGTAGAAATTATGAAAATGTTGGAAAAGTTATTCCTCGACCCCACAAAATGAGAAAAACCCCATAAAAATAGTGCAATTTTCAAATAGCCATAACTCCCGCAATAGTGTATATATTTCAATCAAACTTTTTTCTGAAGTAGTGCTCATGGGCACCTACAAAAAAGTATTAGACAACTTATCTGTAGGGTATCAAACAAAATTACTAAAAATCAAATACGAATTTTTAACAAATAATCGACATGGAGTGGTTGGTGCCTAAATTTTTTGGTGAAAGAAATTTCAAATCGTTCTAAAAAAAATATTTTTGATTGCAGGGATCAATTATAATCATTTTTGGTCAATAGACATAACCTCGAAATCCTAACCATTTTTTGAGAAAAAAATTCCTTTGCGAAAATCTAACGTGAGGACCAGAAATGTTTCCCTGAATTTTCATGCGAATCTTCAAAATGTCATAACTCCTGAACGAATTGGACGATTTTAATGTTTCAAAATGCAAACAACGCGTATTTTAGTGAAAAATATGTGGCAGCTCCAAAAATATTCGAAAAGTTATTCCTTGACCCCGCGAAATGAGAAAAACCCCATAAAAATGGTCCAATTTTCAAACACAGCCATAACTCCTGCAATAGTGGATATATTTCGATAAAACTTTTTTCTGAAGTAGTGTTCATAGACACCTACACAAAAGTATTAGACAACTTATTTGTAGGGCGTCAAACAAAATGGCCAGGTCAATGACCCCCAAGACCCCTGTGGTCTGCAGATGTGCACTCCCGCGAGTTTACGATACGTCAATCGCCATTGAGGCAAGGAAGAGCTCCAAGGATTCCAAATCCCGTGTAGAATTTAGAGTTTCCTTAATGACCGTAATCTAATTTGTCAAGTAAAAATGTCTCGAAGGCCTAACCCTAAAAAATAGCGAAGAAGTCACGTCCCTATCATAAACCCCGTGATGTGAAGGTTTTTTAAGAATCCTCAACCCTTTGCACTCCTATGTCGAATGTGACTCGACGTCAGTATTTATCTCAGCAGCTCCATTGTCGAATCCCCCTCGACATTTTTTCGAGTCCAAACCAAAGAGATTTCGTACACTTACAACAATAGTGTAAGTAAAACAGATATTTCATTGAATTTGTTTAAATTTACCCTACTTATTAGTTGAAGTATGTAAATTTCAAATAAAACACTTGGAAGTGGTGGAAGCTGCTGGTAACAAAATTCAAATACAATTCGAAGTGCAAGGGGTTAACAGGCGAGGAAGTTTAGTTGCAGCAAAATTAGTTATCATCTGTTACTATTTGCAGGGTATTAATCCGAATCGTCAGGGGTTGCAAGTGAGCAACTTTCCAGCCCCGTCGACCCGATGGCCGCCAGTGAGGAGCCCTCCACTCTGCGTTTGGGCGGTTGTACGTTGTTGCCCGTACAACGCGAACCGTTTGGTGACGTGTTTCGAGTCAGCCGGCTGCCCAGGTGTCAATTGGGACCCGAATCCATGCAGGGCCTCCATTATGCGTGCCGCTACCGAGCAGGTCACGAAATTCTACGCGGAAGCCGAGGAGAACAGACATCTTTAAAAGATGCGCGTAACGAATAGGATAAGCTCTCGGTGGATCGTTGGGAAATTTAGTTGATATCAATCTCGAAGAGATTACACTTCATCCGAGGAAGCTTAAGGTGAAACTTAAACGGGGATCGCAGGACGAGTCGATATTTTAATGAAGCTCGGATATGTGAATTTCAAGATCAAACGATGATAGCTCGGAGAATGCTTTGTTCGAACTTTTCTTCTTGTTGTTGACGATTTGACACGAGGCGTTCTCGATTGTTTTTTTATGGTTCTTCACTGACACGGTCTTACGGTGTTCAATTTCGTGTTGTAAAAGAAGTTTACTTTTTATTGTTCGATATACAGAGAGTAAATAACATTCTCTCGTGTGAAGAGAAATCGGGAGATTCTGTACTATTTTGCAATTTGAGAATAAAATGTACAACAACCTTACATTTTCAAATTAATAATTATCAATTTTTCATAGTACGAATTATTTTCTGGTTGCAATTTGTCGTTTTGCAACACCTTGAATAAGAAACTTGAACATTTGGCAACCTGCTTCGTAATTTTTTGCGGGTATTACAAACATTATGACTTATTGGAAGTTTGGAACAATTATTGGTAAATAATTTCGTCAAGAACTTTTTTAAATATTTGTTTAACGTCGCACGAAGTGCACCCAGGTGGTTGTCTAATATTCTAAACAAAGTATATTCGTCAGAAACTGGAAGATAATTTATGAATACATAACTGAAGATTCCATAAACATAAGAAACTTCGAATTTACTATTTCCGAAGGACTTTCATTGCAACAAATTATACAAGACGGTGGAGAAGACAGTCAGTTGTTAATAAACGTTTCTGTTATAAATATGTCGTTTACAAACAGTAAACAGTATTCGCGTTGATATCGTCATTTGATGCTTATATTCACATTACCGAAAATGTATTAAAATTGCGTTCTGAATGTTTACCTACTCGAACCCTCGATCATTTGATATTTCGACAGGACCGACGACAAACAGCAAATAGAGCGCCAATTTATGCTCTTCGTTCTACTCGTATTCTTAGAAACAAGTAATCATAAAGTCGATATTCTTCTAGTCGCCCTTTTTAGACCACGATAGCGTTGCACGATTTTAAATTTAACAAAACAAACGATCGCGTCAGCGGCTTCGAAACGATACGTTTGTTCTTATGAAACCGATGCATAAGAAATTCTGCGAGGGTTGCAAACCTCTCAAATACTCACAGTAAGCTGTTCCATATCTGTTATTCAATATCTTTGCTTTTCAATTTACAAGAAATAACTCATAGAGCCTGAAAAATAATGAGACCGATAGGGTTTTCAAAACATTAAAAATTCTTCAGCCTTAATGACAACGTTAAATAAATTTTAGTATCATAATTGCACGAACATGTCAGCCATTTGTTTTAGAAGTTTATATTTAGAGATAAATCGTGTAACAATTGTTACTGGTAAAAAATATTTAACTACTTATTTCGTTTTACATGCTCTCGAACGATTATGGCTTAGAAAATCTGTTCCAACATTTCTAAATTACTTTCTGATGATTTTATTAATTTAATTATGAATTAAACCCTTAGTCACGTATTTAATGATTTTGGTATTTGACGATCTTCTTTTTTTAATCAAATTTTTTAATTTTATCTGGAAATAGCCCAGAAATACAATTTTTCAATTTAATTTAAATTATAGTTAAAAAATACACAAAACATAATATAGCATATAATAATATACTTATTCCATTTTAGGATGTCAAACAGAATATTGTTCACCAAATATACCTCTACCAAACTTGATGATCAAGTTAGATTGTCAATTTTTGTTACTTTTTATTGAACTATGTTTATGAGAATTTTTACTTACAATTAGATTCAATTTTATTATTTGTTTGTCCACATGGTCTATAAATGTCACTTTATTATAAATAATATAAAGCTCCCTCAAAGCTTAAAAAGGGGTCACAACGTTCAACAAGTTAGAAACCGTTGAATTAAAAGATTTTGAATAATTATTAATCGTAAAATAAACCGTGCAGCATTCACTCGAAGTGTCTGTAAAATTTTGTAAAAATTTCAAAAGGGTATTCTCGTTCGGGAGCAAAAATATTTAAATTTCAAACTTTCTTTTTCAAGAGTAAGATAAAGCCTTTCCTAAAGAAAAATTACTACGTTTCCTTCGTATTCTGTTAAATTGGAAAATCAGATCTCTAAATATTGCAGTACATTTTTATTTACCTTTTCACGTGGTTAAGATTCTATAAAAATGTGACAAAATATCCTCTAATTACGAAAAGTTAATAAAAATAAGCTTTTTATTTCACTAGTAGACACTTGGGGGAAACGCTAAAAATGTAGACGACATTCAATTCTCTAATTATAAGAATAAATGTTAAACAACGGTGGAAGTAATTAACTATCTTAATTCAAAACACAGACAAATAAAATAACTAATAATGTCCATATTATTGATAAAAAAAATTTGGAATAATTCAAAGTGGTGAAGTACGCGGTAGAAGAAGATCGATCATTTTGAACTTACGAGCGAGGATACGCGCTTAAAATGATCCCTCGATCGTCGAGGAACGCTCGTTCCTCTTAGCTTCGCAAGAAAAAGGAGCAACGAAATAGCAATCGTTATGCTTTACGAGTCTAGAATGTCGAGGGGTAGCCAACATTCAACAGAGAGTAACTGATCGTTTGAAAGTAATTAACTATCTTAATTCAAAACACAGACAAATAAAATAGCTAATAATATCCATATTATCGATAAAAAAAATTTGGAATAATTAAAAGTGGTGAAGTACGCGGTAGAAGAAGATCGATCATTTTGAACTTACGAGCGAGGATACGCGCTTAAAATGATCCCTCGATCGTCGAGGAACGCTCGTTCCTCTTAGCTTCGCAAGAAAAAGGAGCAACGAAATAGCAATCGTTATGCTTTACGAGTCTAGAATGTCGAGGGGTAGCCAACATTCAACAGAGAGTAACTGATCGTTTGAAAGTAATTAACTATCTCAATTCAAAACACAGACAAATAAAATAACTAATAATGTCCATATTATTGATAAAAAAAATTTGGAATAATTCAAAGTGGTGAAGTACGCGGTAGAAGAAGATCGATCATTTTGAACTTACGAGCGAGGATACGCGCTTAAAATGATCCCTCGATCGTCGAGGAACGCTCGTTCCTCTTAGCTTCGCAAGAAAAAGGAGCAACGAAATAGCAATCGTTATGCTTTACGAGTCTAGAATGTCGAGGGGTAGCCAATATTCAACAGAGAGTAACTGATCGTTTAGTGTTGGCCGGTCGCCAGGTTCGGTGTCGAGTCAGTTAGCACGCGAAAATATAGTCATAGAGAGAAAACGAAAACGAGAGGCAGGAGGGGAAAAAGAGAGAACAATAGCGCGACATTTGTTCGTATCACAGACGCACGTGCAATTAAGCGTGTTCGTTTCGCGTTTAACGAACGTAGAATTATTAACTCTTAAGTCTTTCTCTTTTTTTTTCTTTTTTTTTTGTACGTAGTCGTCGAGTTATACGTTCGCAGCTTTTTCACATGTGATATATAGATAGGCTTTTAATTCGCCGTAATATAGTTAAATATTTATCTGTGTAACGAACGCGACTAATGCTTCACGAGAATACGTGCTCTGATGCTGGGACGAGAGCTCTCTTGAATTTAAAAAAAAAAATACCTCGTCTGAGAAATCTGTTATTATACGATATAAATTATGCATGTTCGAAGGCGGGTACTACAGAATCAGTTTCACGTATTCGAGTGCGTTACGTGGCTACAGGCACACCGACGAGTTTCGAGTACATAACATTTGCGACTATAAATGTATTTAGTTAAGCATAGTTAAGTATTTGTCGTCCCGCTTTGTCTGAGAAATGTAGCGAAATTTATAGTAATATTTTTCTACTTGGTATTTTCCAACAGAATGTAAGAGTATAACGAAAATTTCTGGGAATTCTTAGTTCGCTGTAATATATGTATATTAAACATTTGTTTCTGTAATAGACGTAATAAAAATGCTGAATTAATCTTATACGAGTATCTACCTTTTCATTTCTCTTCGTTGGAAATAAAACGTAACATTTAAATAATAGTCGTGTAAAATCCTACACTTTAAAAGGAAACACGTACATCTTTTGTTTTCTAGAGATTTACGTAGAATTGTATCTTATATTGTTAAACACTAGAAAACCTGTCTCTTTCTTTTTTGATAATTTTCAATATTTTGATGAGAAGATTAAAAACAAAAAAGATATCAGGCAAGGAAAAAAATAAAAGAACATTATGAATATAGTTAGACAAATGTTTCAAATTGTTGCTTGGCTGCTTCTGTGCCAATAAAATGACAGACAGAAGATAAAGTAATAAACAAAAGTTTCCATAAAACTGTAGCATGTATTTTATATATTTTATACCAATTCTGCATTGGTGTAATCAGAAATACTTAATAAAAAAAAGCAAATCTGAAGTTTATACAAATAAGCCATTATTTCTCAATGGCCTTATTTCGCTTCCAAGAAAGCAACGTAAAAAAATTATTAAAATATATTTAATAGAGAATTAAATTATCCAAAGCTCTTTCACAGACTACATCGAACTTACCTTTGTTCGGAAATAGCAACAAAATATAATTTATCTTCATAGTAAAAATAGCAAAATATTATTTTATACGCCGCAGTGTGAACTATAGTTGAACTGTGAGAAATTCACAAAAGTCTTCGCCACTTTTCACGCAAGTAAAATAATCTCGTTCTCTATCGAGCACGAAATGGGCATTGCCTGTTGAAAAGCGACGTGACCAGCGTCTCAAAGAGAAGAATTTGTTCGCCTCTGTCTTTTTAACCCCCCCGCCATGCAATTTAAAACCATCCGCCAGCTGTGGACAATCGATCTCCCCTCAATTTCCAGTTTCACTCTCAATTCCGCGAATTCGGTACATCTTAATTACAGTCCATTTTCTAAATGCAGTTTACGTTAATTTAAGTTTCCTCCCCAACTTTCGATGCAGATTATCTTTGGAACTTCGCTCGCGGGATTAGTTTCAGCGTCTACTTTAACATGAACTCTGGGAACAGTTTCAACTTTGTCTTTTGAATTTGCTCGGGATGAACTCACGTTTGTTAGTGTTCTGTTTAACATTGGCTGGCATTCTGTTACAGCTGTTTATATACAATGGAGAATAAAATATTCCCGTACTTTATTAAGTCTAACTCTCTCTAGTTACTTTGTGGACACTGATGTGCGACAAGTGTTTCATGTAAGATAAATGTGAGATTATATTTGACATTTATTCGAACAAAGATTGTATTCAATTTTATTCTCTCTTGTTAATAAGCTACAATGAGCATCCCCTCGTTATTATACTATAATCCAAACAAGCATAATTTATTTTAAATAAATTTTTAAATTTAAATTAAGCTGTTTATAACGATCAGTATAAATTATTAAATATTTATAAAATGACTTACAATGTTCTAAATATTTTTATTATTTAAAAGTTTCTTAAACGAAGATTTATTTCCAATTATTATTAGAACCAATCCCATTATCAGAATGTGGATGTATTCTAGACTTGATTATATTATTTATTCTTGAAAAAATAAGAAGCAGTACATACATTTATATTTTTATTACTTAAGAGTCTTTTAAACGAGCATTTATTTTTAATTATTGTCAGAACAGATCCTATTATCAAAATCTGGATGTACTCTAGTCTTGGTCCTATTTATTCTTGAGAAAAATAATTTTAACTCAAGCGAATGGTTCATTAGACAAGAAATTTGATATGTATTTCACCATAATTGTAAAACTGAACAAATACTGTTTTTATTAGTCGTTAGTTTATGTGAAATAATTTTTTTCTCAATTCTGGCCCCTAAATACGAATCAGAAGCATTCTTTTTTAGTTTTGTGATATGCCTGCTTGTGACCAGAACGCTCGATCCTTAGATCGCGGTGTGGCTAGCAGCTGAGAATAGTTGGAATCCTTTTGAAACGTTGCATCCTCAAGAACGACCATCAAACCGCACAAATTTCAAACTACGAGGTAATATGTTCCACATTCTGTCATGGAATTTCCTAAACTTGAGCCGAGATTCCTTGTTTTCGTGTAAAAAGTGACGAAATTTCAGGTATACGATATAGTATGTACATCAGGGTGGAACCTAAAATTTTTTTCAGAATTTTAATCGTGCGACCACAATTTGTTTCATTTTAAGAAAAACATAATTTCTACAAACAACCAAGTCGATTGGATAATAGAAAATACATGGCACAACAGGTTTGTTTACATATGTAAAAAAAAATTAAATTTCATTGAAGATGGAAAAATACCGATTTTATCACGTTATTTGATTACTACAGGTTAATTTAGACTAAAATCTGTATATTTATAATGTACTGTAGCAGAAAAAAAGTTGTTTTGTTGTTGTACAGAATGAAATCATTCTAATATCATTGTTTGCAAAAACAGATTTCCAAGAAGAATAGAAGCGCCAAGTTTCTCAATAAAATTAAACCAATTTAAATAATTTCTAGGGATAAATAATGTTTCAAACGAAGATCCTCAAGGATTTACAAACTTAATGACACCTAAAGTAAAATGATTCGAGATGAACGAATTGAAAGAAGTAGAAGAGGTAGGATCGAAGTAAAATTACTGAAATTCCCAAAGTTTAAGTAAATTGTGTCACCCTTTCCCATTGTTCTATTGGCTTCCCCTTTTGCAGGAATTATTTGTTTATAAAGTTAAACAAAAATCCAGAGGGTTCAAATCGTTCTAAAAAAATTACTTTCGGTTGCAGGGATCAATTATAATCATTTTTGGCCAGTAGACATAACCTCGAAATCCTAACCATTTTCGAGAAAAAAATTCCTTACAGAAAATCTAATGCGAGGACCAGAAATGCTTCCCTGAATTTTCATGCGAATCTTCAAAATGTCATAACTCCTGAACGGACTGGACGATTTTAATGTTTCAAAATGCAAACAACGCGTATTTTGGTGAAAAATATGTGGCAGTTCCAAAAATATTCGAAACGTTATTCCTTGACCCTGCAAAATGAGAAAAACCCCCTAAAAATGGTCCAAATTTCAAACAGTCATAACTCCCGCAATAGTGGATATATTTCGATGAAACTTTTTTCTGAAGTAGTACTCATGGGCACCTATAAAAAAGTATTAGACAACCTATCTGTAGGATATCAAACAAAATTACTAAAAATCAAGAACACATTTTCAACAAAAATCGACATGAGGAGGTTGGTGCCTAAATTTTTCGGCGAAAAAAAATTTCAAATCGTTCTAAAAAAATTATGTTTGGTTGCAGGGATCAATTATAATCATTTTTGGTCGATAGACATAACCTCGAAATCCTAACCATTTTCGAGAAAAAAATTCCTTAGAGAAAATCTAATGAAAGAACCAAAAATGCTTCCCTGAATTTTCATGCGAATCTTCAAAATGTCATAACTCCTGAACGGATTGGACGATTTTAATGTTTCAAAAAGCGAACAACGCGTATTTTAGTGGAGAATATGTAGAAATTATGAAAATGTTGGAAAAGTTATTCCTTGATCCCGCAAAATGAGAAAAACCCCATAAAAATGGTCCAATTTTCAAACAGTCATAACTCCCGCAATAGTGGATATATTTCGATGAAACTTTTTTCTGAAGTAGTGCTCATGGGCACCTACAAAAAAGTATTAGGCAACCTATCTGTAGGATATCAAACAAAATTACTAAAAATCAAAAACAAAATTTTAACAAAAATCGACATGAGGAGTCGGTGCCTAAATTTTTCGGCGAAAAAAAATTTCAAATCGTTCTAAAAAAATTATGTTTGGTTGCAGGGATCAATTATAATCATTTTTGGTCGATAGACATAACCTCGAAATCCTAACCATTTTCGAGAAAAAAATTCCTTACAGAAAATCTAATGTAAGAACCAGAAATGCTTCCCTGAATTTTCATGCGAATCTTCAAAATGTCATAACTCCTGAACGGATTGGACGATTTTAATGTTTCAAAAAGCGAACAACGCGTATTTTAGTGGAGAATATGTAGAAATTATGAAAATGTTGGAAAAGTTATTCCTTGATCCCGCAAAATGAGAAAAACCCCATAAAAATGGTCCAATTTTCAAACAGTCATAACTCCCGCAATAGTGGATATATTTCGATGAAACTTTTTTCTGAAGTAGTGCTCATGCGCACATACAAAAAAGTATTTGACAACCTATCTGTAGGATATCAAACAAAATTACTAAAAATCAAAAACAAAATTTCAACAAAAATCGACATGAGGAGGTCGGTGCCTAAATTTTTCGGCGAAAAAAAATTACAAATCGTTCTAAAAAAATTATGTTTGGTTGCAGGGATCAATTATAATCATTTTTGGTCGATAGACATAACCTCGAAATCCTAACCATTTTCGAGAAAAAAATTCCTTACAGAAAATCTAATGCAAGAACCAAAAATGCTTCCCTGAATTTTCATGCGAATCTTCAAAATGTCATAACTCCTGAACGGATTGGACGATTTTAATGTTTCAAAAAGCGAACAACACGTATTTTAGTGGAGAATATGTAGAAATTATGAAAATGTTGGAAAAGTTATTCCTTGATCCCGCAAAATGAGAAAAACCCCATAAAAATGGTCCAATTTTCAAACAGTCATAACTCCCGCAATAGTGGATATATTTCGATGAAACTTTTTTCTGAGGTAGTGCTCATGGGCACCTACAAAAAAGTATTAGACAACCTATCTGTAGGATATCAAACAAAATTACTAAAAATCAAAAACAAAATTTCAACAAAAATCGACATGAGGAGGTCGGTGCCTAAATTTTTCGGCGAAAAAAAATTTCAAATCGTTCTAAAAAAATTATGTTTGGTTGCAGGGATCAATTATAATCATTTTTGGTCGATAGACATAACCTCGAAATCCTAACCATTTTCGAGAAAAAAATTCCTTACAGAAAATCTAATGTGAGGATCAGAAATGCTTCCCTGAACAAATCCACAAAAATTTCGAT